TAGAGTCAATTACCCCTGATCTGCTTGAAGGACAGTTCAGATTAACCTTCCTTCAGCAGTTTGGTCTATGTCTTATCAAGCTTGTTTCTCCGGTTTCAGTGTTGCTACCTTGAATCGCCAGCAGGTGGTGCTATCTCATCTGCTCGCCCCAGAGGGGGTGGGGCCGGACAGGAACAAGATGGCTGCCTGCCTCCGAGCAGGCAACAGGAGCCCCACGCCCGGGCGGGCAGGACACTCTCGGACACAGGATAGGTAGCAGTGATCCCAGCAGATCTTCCCTGAAGCGGTTCGTTGTGTATCTCCTCGGGCCATGTGGTGCGATATGCTACCCCTCCCAGAGGCTGCAGCGGCAGTGGCAGCAGCGGTGGGGGGAGGGGCGGCAGCGGCGGCGGGACCGTTTGGAATGCAGTCAAAACTGTCCAGTCGTTGTGATGGCAGCGGCCGAGCTCTGTCTGTAGAGCAGGCTGCGATGCTGGGGTCCCCAGCCTCCCGGGGCGAGAGTCAGAGACCCACTTCAGATCTCCCTTGCAGAGGGCTTGAGACACCGGGTTGTCCCGTCGCCATCTTGCCGCTTCCGTCCAATGCTTTCTTACATTCACATTAGTCAGTAATCCTAGTTGTTTGAAATGGCCCAAAACAGGTCTTACTACAGTAATCCATCAGATCAGTTCCACAATATGCACTGGGACATGCAAAAGAATGTCACTTCAGTTTGCAAATATTACAATATTCTTTACATCAATTAAATTATGCCTGGAAAAGCAGTGATGGTTCCAGGTGAAAGAGTCCAGCATATAAGAAAGGTCAAAAATTGCCATTAAAAATTAGAAACCAAGTGACAGAATCAAATGATAATAGCCAGCCCAGGAATACCATCATTTTAAATGGTCTGTTGCAATATGATTACTGCACCAATTTTTTATTATTCCAGTTCCCAGTCCTAGGCATTAATTTTAGTTGTTCAGTGTTGGGTTGATCTCATGGATTGAGATAGTCCTTTGGTATAACCATCATCACTTTACCACAAATAAGCTCTACTCAAATAAAGAAAGGGAACTCCTGCACCTTCAATAACCCATGAGAAAACAAATATGAAAACTACTAATAAACCTAGGCTGAGGTGGAGAGTTAAAAAAGAAATGAAGGATTTCAGAGATATATACATACCATAACCTGCTTACCAGCCCAACCATCACAAGGTTTAAAATAATGAACTCTTGTAAACCTAGATGTTTCACAGTCAAGCTGGAGAATCAATTTAAGGTGAGAAAACAAAACCAAAGTAATATGAGTTTTATAAGTTACAATTATGAAAGAAGAAACAGACTGGAAGTAACAAGAAGCTTCTTGAAGGTACTAAGGCCTCAAAACATGTTCTATTTAAGAAATAAGAACTTTAAAATATAGTAATTTATACTCTGCTAGAGCTCCTATTATCAAACTTAGTTTATAAGGTTTGGTTTCTTAGATTAAGAATTTCTAGCAATCAATGTTCTTGGGATAATACATGCCAAAGACAGGCAGTCTCTGACAATGGCCATATCAGGCAATTCTTGGGAAAAGGAAGCCAAGAAGCAAAGTGTTAAGAATTCCCTTAACTCCTATTGAGCCCTAACTTTCAAAAAAAAAAAAAAAACTGTTAAATATATCCCAACAATTCAGATTCAAAAAAAGTTATTAAGGTATTTCAATAGATTCAAGGATACAGAAATGCCTTGCAGCAGCAGTCCAACAAGCGGAGTAACAACTTGCAGGCTCCCAAAACCTTCATCAACACCAACTCCACTACTGGTTGACTGGGGATGACACACACTTTGGGAGTTACAGGATGATTTTCACTTGACAAAAACACAAACGTATATTACTTTCAGTTTTAAATACAAAGCATTTCTATTACAGTATTCAAGTAAAGATTTGCTTTAAGCTCAATTTGAGATAGTAATGCTCAGTAACAACCCACTGATGTTTCCGTACAATGTACCATGATCCAGATTTCAATGTTATACCAGTCCCTCCCACAGATCTACAGAGGGAAATTTATTGCTAGGTGCCCCTTATTAAAACAAAATTTGAGCCGGGCTCGGTGGCTCAGCCTGTAATCCCGCGCCTTTGGGAGGCTGAGATGAGTGGATTGCCTGACCCCGCAGGTTTGAGACCCGCCTGGGCAGCGAGACCTCATCTCTACAATAAATCAAAAAATCAGCCGGGCGTGGTAGCGCGCGCCTGTAATTCCGGCTACTCGGAAGGCTGAGGCGGAAGGATCGCCGGAGCCCAGCAGGTCGAGGCTGTGGTGGCCGGGAGCAGCCACTGCACTCCAGTCTGGGCGACCGAGTGAGACTCCAACTCAAAAAAAAAAAAAAAAAAATTTGTACATATGGATTATATCCCAATGTCAAGCAAAAAGTCTAAAGGGAGATCACAAGAAGACATCAAGTTCCCAGCCCACCACATCACACAACAAGTAGACCACTTACTTGGAAGTAAACAACTCAGACAGATCTTGAATTGAACCCACCAAATTCATGTTTCTCAAACGTTTTAAACATTGTTCAACCTGAGGAAGGAAAACCAGTTCACATTTGTATGATATAATACACATAGGGTCACTGATTATGACCAGGAAAGCAAAGTGTTCCAGATTTCAAACCATGAAACTATGCTAAATACCACAGAATACCTTTTTTTAGGGTAAGAAATCAAAAGTGCAGGCATTTGCTTCTGGTTACAAATTTATAATTTGGCCAGATGCAATGGCTCATGCCTGTAATCCCAACACATTGAGAAGCTGTGGGGGTGAGGTGGGGGAGACTGCTTGAGGCCAGGTGTTCAGGACCAGTCTAAGCAATATAGCGAGACCCAGTCTTTAAAAAATTTAAAATTAAATTTTTAAAAAAATTAAAAATTAGGGGCAACCCCTTTGGGTCCCCTCCCACTGTGGGAGCTTCTCTGTTATCTCAATAAATCTTGCTTTCTTAAAAAAAAAAAAAAAAAGCCGGGCTCAGTGGCTCAGCCTGTAATCCCAGCACTTTAGGAGGCCGAGGCAAGTGGATTGTCTGAGCTCACGGGTTTGAGACCCACCTGGGCAACAACTTGGCAAACCCTCATCTCTACAATAAATCAAAAAAATTAGCCAGGCGTGGTAGCACACACCTGTAGTTCTGGCTACTTGGAAGGCTAAGGCAGAAGGATCACCAGAGCCCGGCAGGTCAAGGCATGGTGATACAACCTGTAGTCCCAGCTATGTGAGAGGCTGAGGCAGGAGGATTGCTTAAGCTCAGGAGTCTGAGGCTGCAGTGAGCTATGATTGCACTACTGCACTCCAGCCCTAGGCAATCCTGCCTCTTAAAAAAAAAATTCTATGTGTCACTATGTGCTTAATGCTATAAAGGGACCAAAATGAGTATAAGATTAGATTATCCTCAAGATTACAATTTTGTTGAGGCAATATGACAAAATAGTGGAACTATAGTAAACTATTATCTACTAAATTCCTTTTTTTTTGAATCGGAGTCTCACTCCATCGCCCAGGCTGGAGTGCAGGGGCATGCTCCTGGCCACCACAGCCTCGACCTGCTGGGCCCGGGGGTTCCTTCCACCTCAGCCTTCCAGGTAGCTGAAACTACAGGCGCGCACTACCATGCTCGGCTAAGTTTTTATGTAGTGTAGAGACTAGGTCTCACCAAGTTGCCTGGGCGGGTCTCGAACCCACAAGCTCAGGCAATCCACTCACCTCGGCCTCCCAAAGTACTGGGATTACAGGCTGAGCCACTGAGCAGGGCCTATCTACTAAATTTCGACAGTCTGTAAGTACCGCAGAGATGAGGAAAGTGATTGGTGTAGTCATTGAACAAATGTACACTGAACACCTACTACATGGAAGGCGTGGTGGGAGATAAAATAGTATAAGACATTTCCCTATCTCTAGTTGCTAAAAATCTAGTAGTGAAAATAGGAAGCGTATCAAATATTTAACTAAATAACAATAAAAACAGAAAGCCCCCATGTAAAAAGACTGCAGTTCACTTACACTTCCCCTTCTCTGCCTTATTTTTTTTCCACAGCACTTATCACCACCTGACCCATCACTGATGATCTTTCCTTCCCAACTATAATGTAAGCTCCACAAAGGCAACTCATTTTGTCCATTCTGTTCACCACTATAGGCTCAGTGTGGAGTAGGCACTCAATAGCATTTTTTATGTTACAAAGGAGGGGGGGAGGGTGGTAAGAGCCATGCCTTGTACAAAATGCTGCAGGAACTCTGAAGTCCTCAGGAAGAATACACAAAGGACAAGTGTTGGACTGCACCCAGACTTTATAGGACATAAAAATCTAGATGAGCACTGATACTGGCAATAAGACTACCTTGCTAAAGCTACATATATAATACTAAAAACTAAATCAAGGTTATGGATTCTATCTTAGCTGTTTTCAGAACAATGGAGAAAACAATGCTTAAATTCTCTGGGGTCAATGCCTCTCTCAATTTTTAAGTGTGGACATCACCGCTTAAGAAAGGAATTGACAAATTAAGATGGTAAAGCACTTGGAAAACATAGTAAATAAAATATGGCTCAACAAAAACTCAACAAAGAGAAGGAAGGAAGGAAGAAGGCATGGAGGAACATAAGAACAGTCTTCTATACTCCAATTGTCACACAGAAGAGGAATCAAGACTATTTTCTGTGTTTCGTTTGGGGGAACATTAGATAGACTAATCTAGTGCATGGCTTTTGAAGGCAGAAAAAGAAATCTTTAAATAGATGAAAGTTCTCTGTAAACTGTGGAACGTTAAGCAGATACAAGGCAGTAGCAGCAGTGTTAAGAATAACTGAGGCACCAACAGCAGCCTAGGACATGTACCCTGTAAGGATCACAGGGTACATAAAACATAAACACAAATAGCTATACCCCACCACACAGACTATATTAAATGCTATAAGAGAAGTACAAAGAGGAGGCCCAAATAGCCAAGAATCAAAGAAAAGAGGAACTCAGCTTCACTAATAATCAGAAAAATGCAACTTAAAATGGGATTGCTATAACATACACTCACATTACACCTTGAAAAGAAGATTGTCACTGTCAGGAGGGCTTAAAATAAGACTTAGAGGATGAGAAGGCCTTTAATAGGCAGATATAGAGAGGCTGGGTATTCTTAACGTATATGACAAGGTGAGCAAGACTCAAGGTGAGCAAAGAGAGAACAAACACAGTGAGCATGTAGATTCATTAAGAGTTCAGATAAGATATTTGAAAGCAAGAGAGAAGCCTGAGCTGAGAAGCCTGAAGAGGCCAGATCACAGGAGATTCTGTAAGCCTATCTAAGGTGTTTGGTCTTTTTTCAGAACCATTAATACCCCAAGTTGTGTTTTAGGATGAATAACCTGGCTTTGGTATATAGAACATGTCCAAGCATCAGAAAACTGAAGGAGGACACAGCAGGATAGTAAGACAAATAAATGTTGACAAGGTCTAAAAAAAGAAAATGGTAGCCAGAACTAAAGAGATGACCAGATACAGAAGAAGTTTTGACTGGATGGGAGAGCTATATAAAAGGAAAAAAGAGAACACCAAATTTTTATGATTTGGTGATTACTCAAACAGATAAGAGACCACCAAATTTTTATGATTTGGTGATTACTCACATCCTGAAAGGTAGGGGGAAAAACACATTTGGTCTCAGGGTTAGTAAGTTTGCTTTTGGGTTACAAGACTCAGGAGATAGAAGCTACGCCAGATAAGAAAACTCAGAGAAAGACCACCATCTCAGATGTTCCTTTGATGAAGAAATTTTCATCCTTTTTGCCTTAAGTAACAGAGATAGAAAGTTAACCAGAAAGCATGAGTCTGTAAGGTTAGAGACTACATCAGTCTTTTTTACTCCTGTATACACAGCACTAAACACAGTGCCTGGCACAAAGAAGTTAAAAAATACTTGCAAGGTGGCTCTATCACAAAATGGATAGCCCACTGACCTTCTATAAACTGCACAATTAATAAAGTGAATGAATGAGCATATAAACCAATTTAAGAGGCTCTACTCTACGGTACTCTATGGCTGGAAGGCCCAATTTTGTTTTAAGCTCCAAAATTACATGAAGCCACTTTACACCACAACTTGCCATATACTTATTTATACTAACATACTACCAATTAGATTATGTTCCCCACAATAAATAAACCAAAACTTTTCTTATTATGATTTTAGCGTTTTGATTATGCTCAGGAAACTGCTTCTTAATGTCTATATGTTAATCACTATATGTTTGAACATGGCACAGGCACTGTTACTACAGATTGCACATAATGAAGAAAATTTTTACTTACCTACTAGAAACAGGACTGGGAAAGAATTAGTCTAAGCGTACTTCTTTTCTAATAAAAATTACTTTTAAAAATTATTTCAGAGAAAAAAGAAGCCCACATATACTGTGGGCTAAGCTGTAGACCTAGTAAATCACAAGAAATTTACTGAGATTCCTATAAATAACAAAATAGTTAAGTGGCAGTGCTATCTACATCTTCAAGTAAACAGGTTGGGCCTCACACACAGGGCTTCCACCTCACCTGTCTGAGGGCCAAATGGGGTTTGTGGTGGCCCATTCTGTTGTGATTGCTGTAAAGGACTGCACATAACACATCTGCTTCTGCATCTAAGGTTTGGCTCTTCAGTGACAGTGTGACGAGATGGCATTCTTTAATTACAGCTGCAATGCAAAGACCTGGAGCACAGACATTTAATAAGACTTAGTGTATATTTCTATATTGAGTATATCAAAAAAAGACTTAAAGAAGTATATTTTCCTTGTTTTAAAGGAATCCAAAGCAAATGAATGTAAGTTCTTACAGTTCTTAACTGTAAGAACACAATTAAGGATTCCAAGTACTTGATAAATGGTAACATGATATAAGATCCACGAAATCACTGAGAAAATATCTGTTAACTAGGAATATACATATTTACATTGCATTTTTTTTTTTTTGAGTTGGAGTCTCACTCTGTTGCCCAGACTGGAGTGCAGTGGCCGCTCGTGGCCACCGCAGACTCGACCTGCTGGGCTCCGGGGATCCTTCCGCCTCAGCCTTCCAAGTAGCCAGAATTACAGGCAAGTGCTACCACGCCAGGCTGATTTTTTGATCTATTGTAGAGGTGAGGTCTCGCTGCCCAGGCGGGTCTCGAACCCGCGGGCTCAGGCAATCCACTCACCTCAGCCTCCCAAAGGCGCGGGATTACAGGCTGAGCCACCGAGCCCGGCCTATGTATTCATTTTTAATTTTTATTTTAAAGACGGGTACAATTCAGGGTTAGGTATACAAATGGTCATTGTACAGGTAAAGTTTGGGCCTCACTTTGGTCCCCACTTTGCCTGGTTTGAAATCAGGTACCCCTTCCCCTGGAAGTTACCCACTACTGTCAATCCCTTTCTTATAGTATTTTGATAACTGTTCAGGGTCTGCTTTTGAGTGAGAATATGTGGTACTCAGTTCTTTGTTTCTGTGATAGATCACTGAGTATTCTAGACTCCAAATCCATCCAAGTTGCTGCAAAACTCCTAATTTTGTCCTTTATGGCTGCGTAATATTCCATCATGCATAGGTTCCACATTTTTTTCAACCAGTTCACTTTTGATGGGCAGCGTGGTTGGTTCCACGTTTTTGTAAGCAGGCCTTTTAAATGGTGACAGTCAGGCCCGTCACGATCCCTTCTCTCTGTGACTTTTCCCCCTATTTTTCTCTGCTGAAAACTGCATGATGCCTTATCTCACTCAGAATAAAAGCCAAGGACCTGAAAGTGTCTACCTCTGATCCAGCCATGTGAGTTCTCTAGCCTCGCCCCCCACTACTCTCTCTGTCCCCGCCCTGCCCTGGCCGCCCTGGCTCCCTGCTGCTCCGTGGACACACCACGCATGCTCACACCCGGGACATGTGCTTGCTGTTTTCGCTTCCTGAAATGTACTTCTTACCAGCTACCCACTTAGTTGTTTGATCTTTATTGTCATCTTCGATGGCACGCATGATTCCCTGCCTCCGTCTGTTTCCTGTCACGACATTTTCTGTCTTCCCCTCTTCCTGGATTTCTCTCCTTATCATTTTCTGCCATGCTATCTCATTTATTTGGATTATGATCTGCATACTTTTGATTATTCACTGAGGTAGTTGTGTCCCTCGGGCAGGGCTTCAGGAAGCCGGGACAGCCCGTGCCACGCCCATAACCTACAGCGTGAGGACGGTGCAAGGACTGTGATGCCAGATGGGGTTAGACTCTTCACTCCGTCTCTCAGTACCTGTGTCACCTTAAGTGTGGTCCATACGCTCTGACCCTCAGTCTCAGTCTATTAAAGGGGGATATTAAGAATATCTGGGTCATAGGATGGTTGTGTCTGTGAAGGTAAGGAATGTACACAAAAGCCTCTGGAGCAGGATAAGCACTCAAAACAAATTAGCTCTTATTTTTATGATTTCCTTCTCTCCATTAAATCTTCCATATCTTGAAACCATTTTATTATGGAAGATTTCAAACATAAACAAAAGGAGAGTGGTAGTAGAAGGAACTCCTGTGAATCTTCCACCCAGCTTTTGTTTTTATCAACTGAGAGTAGATTGTGTTTTCTCTTTTACTTTTCCCCAAATTCCTGCACCCTCGAAGCCCAGATTATTTCAAAGAAAATCCTGGCTAGCATATCATTTCATTAATAAATATGGTCGTATGTGGCTCGAAAAGATAAAGCGCTCATTTAAAAAAAAAAAAATATAAGCAGGATCATATGAAATCTCAAAAAATTAACCCCCATGTCTTAATCTTAACAAATATCTCCTCGGGGTTCCAATTGCCCTCGTTCCTTGTGATCCCTTACTGGGACAGCACCCAGAATGAGCTTCTGGAATTAATACTTTAGGCCGGGCTTGGTGGCTCAGCCTGTCATCCCAGCACTTTGGGAGGCCGAGGCGAGTG